TTGGCATGGTGGTGACTTCAGGAGTGGTAGGAGATGAACTGATTCTGGTAGAAGTGGTCACAGGTGTGCTGGTGTCAACAGAAGGTGTTGAAATGATGCTGCCCTCAGAACTGGTCACACGTGTGGTGCTGAGAGGAATAGTTGTTAATGGAGTGCTTCTTTCACTAGGAGGAGAGATTGGCACGGTGGTGATTTCAGGATTTTTAGGAGATGAACTGACATGGGTAGAAGTGGTCACAGGTGTGCTGGTGCCTGCAAAAGTTGTTGAATGGGTGCTGCCCTCAGAACTGGTCACACGTGTCGTACTGACAGGAATAGTTGTTAATGGAGTACTTTCTTCACTAGGAGTTGAGGTTGCCATACTAGTACTTTCATTAGTTGTAGGAGATGAACTGACTTGGATAGAGGTGGTCACAGGTGTGCTGGTGTCTACAGAAGGTTTTGAAAGGGTGCTGCCCTCAGAACTAGTCACACATGTGGTGCTGAGAGGAATAGTTGTTAATGGAGTTCTTCCGTCATTAGGAGTAGAGATTGGCATGGTGGTGACTTCAGGAGTTGTAGGAGATGAACTGACTTGGGTAGAAGTGGTCACAGGTGTGCTGGTGTCAACAGAAGCTGTTGAAAGGGTGCTGCCCTCAGAACTAGTCACACATGTGGTGCTGAGAGGAATAGTTGTTAATGGAGTGCTTCCTTCACTAGGAATCGAGGTTGCAATACTGGTACCTTCAGGAGTTGTAGGAGATGAACTGATGTGGGTAGAAGTGGTCACAGGTGTGCTGGTGTCAGCAGGAGGTGTTGAAGGTGTGCTAGGATCAGAAAGGGTCACCGATGTGATGCTGACAGGCAATATTCTTAATGGAGTGCTTCCTTCACTAGGAGTCGAAATTGGCATACTGGTACCTTTAGGAGTTGTAGGAGATGAACTGACTTGGGGAGAAGTGGTCACAGGTGTGCTGGTGTCCACAGAAGGTGTTGAAAGGATGTTGCCCTCAGAAGTGGTCACACGTGTGGTGCTGACAGGAATAGTTGTTAATGGAGTGCTTTCTTCACTAGGAGTCGAGATTGGCATACTGGTACCT